GTCATAGCGGTCGGCTCTTGCTTTCCCATCTACTGTATACCGATGCACTGCAAATACAACCCCCCTCTCTGCGGGAGTGCTGGCTGTGATGAATTAAACCGGTTTCACAGGTATTTTCAAAGTAGAAGGGGGCGAGATTTCCAGCGAAAGACACCCCCAAACATCAAAACCCCAGTAAGTACAGTATTTACTAGTTAAGAAAGCTAGGCTCCTCAATGAAATCGCATTAACATGCTAATGCATTGGTGTAACAGTCCGGGCGTGGCAAGCTTCTAATGTCAACTCAACTGTGGCGAAAGGAACCCTTCTGCTGCAAAGTGGTATGGAGAGCTCTGGAGAGGGCATGTGGTGTTCAGCCAGTGAGCTTTTGACGTTTTGAAGTGGAAGTGCAACTTTGAATTTGACCTCCACCCAAATGTCTCCACCCAAATTATTATTATGCATAAAACCTAGTTCCCCCAAATAATTCCTATACAGTAAATGCTGGGCCCCTATCCAGGACCCAATCTCAACCAGATATTGAACTCCCATATGAAAATAATTACATTTATTGATGTAAGATTTGTATAGTTATATAAAAATTCATTTTAAACTTAATGTCAATGTTTATCAGTTTCATGTGAAACTTGAAAGGAAGTTGAAATATTAAAGTTAAATTAAAGGTGGATGGTGTGGAAAATCCATGCGTCACATGTCTTAAGAGGTATCTTGACTGAACTTATGCCCTTTTAAATGACATTTTGCATTACAGATGTATTTTTTCTTTATTTAGTGTTTCAGCTGTTTAGTAACATGATTATTTTTTAATTGTTTTGTTTACTGAATGTTAAGCACAGGCTCCAACTTTTGAAAATTATGTTTGTGTTGTTTTTTCTCTGCCTCCTTTGCACCTTAACATAAAAATAAAGCATTACTTATTATTAAAGAAGGATTAATTAGCAGTAAGAAGGTGTTGAGGAAAATGTGTTCCTTCATGTTTTGCTCCTGCTAAATAACTGTGCAGTGTTCAGTGAAACAGAATCTCTGTGAAACAGGGTTATGAATTTAGTTTTTCTTAGCAAAATTTAGCATTACACACAAATGAAACACTTGTCCTTAGACACATTTTACTAGATACTTGATGATGACAAGTTGTGCATGTTTTGAAACCTTTCTGCTACATGAGAAATCTGTCAAAATGTTGTTTTTTTCAATAAATTAAGATTATTTTGCTTATTTTGGTGTTTAACAGATACTGTATTTAGGGGGATGACAGTTTCTAACATCACACTTTCACTCGCCTATACATAAATACTCCACAACTCTGCATGCATGTTTTCTAGCACTCATCAGTACAGTCTCATCAGAGACATACTGTATATGTTTCACACTCAACATTACTAAGTCCTTACCTTTATCTTATTACTTCCTAAAAGCAGAACCATTGTAGCTTCATCCCACATTTCCTTCCTTCTCTCTTCTCCTAATCCTGATCACTCTGCTTTTTCCTTCCGATTTGTTGCTCCCTTTCTGGTCAGTCATACAGCCCAATGTGCCTTTGGCTTCAGCCTACATTTGTTGTTTTGTCTTTCCCCTTTTCCCCAGTCCTTCTTTCTGTTGACGTTCCAGGGGTACCTCCAGTAGCTGACACTGTTATGCCACGACCCCAGAGGAATTGGCATTCCACCTCACATTCCAGCACAGTTCCCAATTAGCCCTTTTCCCCAGCCTATTTAATGCTGCCTCACATTCTTCCTGGTGCTCAGTATTAGGGTTTTCCTGGCTAGAGCTACTCCCAGTCTTATATAATTCATTACTTGGTTTTTGGCTTCCTGACCCTGGTTTGTTCTCCTTCTACGTCTCCTTGTTTCGGTTTTGGTCTTTTGCTCTTATTCTGGTTTTGACTCTCGGCTCCCTTATGGAATACGGATCCACCTGTGGTTATTTGTACTTTAGCACCGGCTAGTTTACCTACGGCTTTCTGACCTCGGATTGTTCTTTCAACCGCTCCTCTTCCAGATCACCACAATGTCTTCCACTGCCCACCACAGAGCTCCAGTCTCAAAGTAGTCACTGCTGAGGCTGGTGGTGCCACCTTTCACTGACTTGTGTTCCATCTCCTGCCTCATACACTCTCCAAAACACTGAATATCCAAATCTACCTAACAAACAAGTTCAAGTCTACATCATATGAGCTTTACATTCATTCCATGCTGCACTCGTGTTCTGCTTAGTTCCTATGAAGCTTCGAAGTTGAACCGACTTGCTTAATGTTCAAAATCTTCATCGTGTTTTGGGGATCCTTTTTGAAAAGCTGTCATTTCCTTAGCCAGGCAAGTTAACACCAAAGTTTGAAGTGTATTTGTTGTCTCATTTATTTGTTATTAGAATATAACAAATCTTCTGCAATGGTGTTTAAGTTTAGTAGTAGGTCAATTTCTAATTTTGCACTCCACTTGCTAAGTATAAATACTCCCATAGTTTGTTTTAGGGTTATTGATTTTACTTTTGTTTTATACAATATAAACAGAACATACAGACTAAGACAATAAAAGCTTTTTATAGATAAGCTATAAATACATAATATAATGTACAATGTGAGACAATAGGTGATGAACTGCTGCTGGAAGAACACTGAGATAAACCGAGCAGCTGTCTGTGTGTCAACCAAGTAACTCTATTCATCCTGGCAATCAACTGGGTACACATAATGTGTAACATCTGTGCTAAGAGAAGTGCTGCCAAGAAAAATCAAGAACTACCTTTATTCTGTTAATTTTTTATACTCTTATAGCTTTCCCTTTCAGTTTGTTGGGGCCTAGCCACCCCATTATTATTGACTCCTGGCTCATTTTGAGGAGCTGTGTGACAGAAATATTCAAAATCATATTGTAGCTTTTTCAGGTTCCCTCAGGACAAAGGACAAGTGGAGACGTAATAGTAAACCAAGCGACTGCTTTATTCTCCTATCAAAACCACACAAAAACCAAACACAGGATATACACACACATGAGGAGACCGACAGAACACGTACACATGGATAGGGTGTTAACTCGTTAAGTACAGGCTATACACTTATAAAGCTATACAGGACACTAAAACTACTATAACACTATTTACATAAGCAGGGTCAGCTGCTGGTCATCGTTCTGACCCTCAGACTCCCCCCGGCTACAACTCCCAGCCTGCTTCGCGGTACCTTGAGTGCCTAGGTGCTCTTCCTCCTTACCACCGGGCGACGGCGTTACAATATACTTAACCTATATATATAGTATTATATAGACAATAAATCACGGTGTATGATATGCTTACTAATTAAATATAATAATCCAGTAAAGTAGTTAAACTATTTTCTCTTTTTTCATTTGAAGTGACAATGATGAAAAACCACTGAAGGGAAGCCTTCAGTCACTCAATGGGAACATTAAAGCTGCTGACAGTGGAGACAGCCTGGTTGACTATGGAGAAGATGAGCCTGGCCAGTTCAATGAAGATGGGTCTTTTATTGGTGAATATGCTGGGCGCAAAGACAGGGGATCAATGGAAGTAAAAGGAACTAATCAAATTCAAGCATAAGCGAAAGGGACAAATTTACAATTAAGTGTATAGAAAAAGGACAGCACTGTAATGCAATGTACTGAAGGGAAAAATGGCTTACCTGTATGTAAAGCACAACTTTATTTGAATGAAAAGTGGTGTATAGTTATCAGTTACACTGCCACCTTAACATTGCTGTATGGCAAAGTGCCTGCATACTGTAATGGTATAGTGATTGTTTTCCATTTTTTACATTTGTGGTTGGTTTTCTATATTTTTGGTAAATTTAAGGTACTTGGTAGTGGCTTCTGCCATTTCTGAATATGCAGCACCTGTTTCTATTCTATTCCATTTTACAAAAAAAGATCATTAGCTCCCATTGATATACCTGTATGTACAAAAAAAAGTGTAATCTTATGTCAAGAAATTGTATCTCAAAAACAGGCATTATTTCAGCTTCAGATATCTCATTTCCAACTCATGGCATGTTTTTGTGTGTACAGATATGATGACAGTATTGATCTCTCACAGTATAGTACAACATGGAATGAGACACTGTTAGAACGAAGGGTAATAAAGACAGTATAATAAATACACAGATAAAAAAATACTCTTGAAAGATATTCCTTTTATGTTTGAATATTGCATTAGCCCAAGGTGAATTGTACCTTAAAATTGCTTGAAAATCTTGCCTCAGATTTGATTTTGTTTTAGCCAATTTGAGATAAAAATAAACTACTTTAGAGAAAGCAATGCATGCCTAGTGTTAAAGACCAGATAATATTTATCTGAACCACTGTTAATTTTTCTTTTAATTTGTGTCTCTTGTTCTTTTTTAATAGCAGTTTTACAAAAAAATATCATAATTAGCTATAGTACATATTTAGAAAATTAGAAAACAAATACTGTACAAATCACAGGAAAGCTCTCTTTCTTCAGTGGCTTTCCATAGAAAATTTTGTATTCCTAAATTGAGACCTCAGGTAATGTAAAAAGTTGTGTTCATCAAGAACAGAAGAATTCCACAACGATTTGACATTTCCATTTGTTTCCTGTGTGTTTAAGAAAAGTTTGTATACAGTATATACCCTTTCTTCTAGACGCATGACAAAGTGTTGGTCGGGTGTGTTTTGCTTTAAAATACAAACCTTAATTTTTATCATTTACAACTTTTACTAAATCAATTTATTCAGGCAAACAGACATGGTATTTCCAAATGTCACTAACAAACTACAGCTGGCATAAATATTAAGAATTTATGTTGGGGAATGACACTTGCACTTCATAAATAAGAAAATCTGAAGTATGCTAATAGTATGCAGTGGTCTTTCTGTTGGTTTTGGTATGTTTTTATGTTAATCCTCTGTAGTACTGGTGTGCAGAAATATTGGATCCAATACAGAGAAAGCTTGTTTTCATAAGGGTTGACAAAGGTTGCACTAAATAAAATAATTTTGAATAAAAAATGGAAACTGTATCAAGGAAGCTCTTTAGATTTCTGTCATGCATATGAATTCAGCATACTTTTTTAAGCCCATACTAGCATCAACAGAATAGCAGATAACAGCATTGTAAAATTTCAGGTCTGTGCACCCACTTGAAGACATTGTGATCTTTCATGTGTTTTTTCATAGAGTTGAATAAAATCCTGATGCTGAATTCAATAATACAATAATATTTGTTTATATTGTCTGTATTATTTATTTTCAGCTTTGTTTTAAGTCTTTCACTGAAGTTAGTAAACCAAAATTGAGAACTGACAATGACTAACTTGGAAACAACACTACTGAGTTAGAAAAAAAAAGCTTAGGGATTTTTAATACATGGGTACATTTTACATTTTTGGAACAGTATTTACACAGAAGGAAAAAAATGTAGCACTTTTTTCTATATTTGCTTGTTACTTTGTCTTAGTGTAATTTACTGGGACAAATACAATATACTATATGTCTTCATGAATTAGATCTAGCCTGTGTATCATAGCTCATTTTGGAGAGCAAAAAAGAGCTGAGAGAAAAAGGTCACAGCAGCTGAAACTCAAGGTGAAATTCACTCAGAACCGTCTACTTTGAGATGTGCAGGAACATTTGGAGACAAAGCACTTCTACACTATTTCATCTAAATCTCATAAACTGTTATAAATAATGTAAAACTCAGGTCAAAGTAGGCATTTGACTAAAAGGCCTGATGAAGCCTTGCATAGTATAGGATTGAAATGAATAGCTGCTTTAACCTTAGAAGAAAAATGAGTTCCCCCAAGGCATAAATCACAAGATGTCTCCAGTTAGAGGTTGTTTCACGCATTAAAGTTTGAGAGTTAAATGCACACTTCTTTTCTAGGGGATGGCCCTGAATGGGTATCCTCTTTTCAAATATTTGTAGGACTCCACACTGAAGTATGTTGCTCTTGTTCAAGCAATGATGTTAAAACCTGAGTATGCACACAACATTCTAAATGTTGTGTGCATACTCAGATTTTCAATTTGGGACATCCCAAAGGCAAATATTACTAGGACCTCTTCAGTATACAGGGACTGGAAGTCAATAATCTGTTTGGTTTACATTTCTCAAGATCCATCCATGCCTTATTTATTTACAAAATAAATTCATCAATGATCATTTGTTGGTTTTAATCTAAAGGAACGTTTTCCTAATGGATTTACGTAGAACAAGATGCTAATTTTAAGTGGGAGTTTTTCAAATTATATTTGCTACAGCAGAAATGTAAATGTATTGAACTTTGAGAATTCAAAAAAATAAGTCTCATAATGCTCATAATTGAGACTGAACATTAATGTATTCCCTTTGTGACATTCTGTGCATGATGTGGCTTGAAAATGATAATGTCTTTTTAATTCAGTGTATATTCTGAACATTAAAATTGTCTTGAACATATTATCACTGCTGAATACTTAACATACTGATTACGTTTTTGAGCAAGTTATGTTCAATGTTGCACACAAAATACTAATTTCATATTATTTTTTAGGGTTTTGGTATGATAGAACAAATTTATTTTGAGAAACTTCCTGTATAAACTTTATTTAAAAAGTGATGCAGTTCCTTTTCTTTTATGAAGTATTTCACTGGCTTATTATATGTGAAGCTGCCATTTGGTAATGTAATTATTTTGTGTATGTATTTTGCACACCATTACTACACTGGAAAAAAAAACATATTTCTGTTTTTGAACCAAAGTATGATTTGTGTTATAAATTGTACTATATATATTTTTCATTACCTTGAACTTGCATCAAGTTTACTTTTGACCCATCTTTTTAGAGTTTGTACACTGACATTTGTAAAGTTACATTGCTGACCATGTCTTAAAACACCTAAATGTTATTAAATAAACATGGATGTTACACATTTTCAAATGGTGTCTTTTACCATGAAATGTACTGTGCTGTTATTTACAAAGAAATTAAACTATGTATTTCATTGATAAGCTTTGCCTGTGTTTTCTATGTGAAAGTGTTCAGTGGTTGAAAAAAAATATAAAGAAAAGGTTACAAAATCTGATGATGAAACTGGTGGGGAATCGTTCAAGTTGTGGAATGAGGAAACAAATAATTAAACAGAGATTCCAGAACGGGTAGAAAGTGGGGCTATAGAGACACTATCCTGATTTTGTACTTAACCATTGTTTCGCATTAACAAGTTGTTTAACAGGTTAGTAACCTTGTAATGAAAACTCAGTGAGATATGATAGCTACAGCTTAACTGTATTTAACTTTCACCAGTACGTGTACTGTACAATTAGGGCTTCCATTATTTTTCATCTAGGCATTCAAGGTGAGGAATAATGCTTCACAGAGCTTGTCAAAGCATGCCTGGTGCAATAGCAATTTCTTTACTATTAGAATACTTTATAACTCTATCAAGGTGAAGTATCTTTCCGTGAAGCAGCTTTCAGATATGGAAGTAAAGAAAATGTTATTATTGCCAGGCTTACACTATAACTGAAGAGTGAAAACTCAAAAGGGAAGATTGGACTAATTTAGCATTTCCCTGAAACATTTTTGATGTCTCTGGTGGGCTGCTACTCGGTCAAAGCTGAAGTACTTTGGCAAATCAAAAGAAATTATCTTACCATATAGTACTTCCTCTGAAAATTAATAAGTGGACTGGTCTCTCATGCTGACAGCAACTCAATTTATATAGGAGGTTAATTCATCAACCTTTCTCCCCCTGTCAAACAACTTAAAATGCCTACAACTTGTATTTAACGTAAAGCAAAAACATACAATTGCCAATGTATAATTCAGTTGTTTGGTCAAACTCTAATTAAGATGGAGAAGGTGTGAATCGAGAGAGCTTTATTGTGCCAATGTTCTTGACTGAGGAGAACAACATCCCATCAATAAAGATGGGGCTATTGGAATCCTCTCACATAAGGGATTAGCCAAGTAATAGTTGCAAGGGCAAAGATGGGGCAGAGGCACGGATGCAAAAAGAAAATGAGCAAGCGAGTTTGTATTAAGTGTGATAGGGGTAGGATTAGGTTTTGACCTCCTCCCAAATAGAGTTTTATTTCAATTGGGGTAACTCATAACAATCTGTAAGGACAGAGCTGTGGCAACCACCAAAAGAAATAAGAGATACTCCATAATTCTGTTTCAGAATTCTAATGCTATCTATGGATGCCTAAGGATTCAATGGGATGTGTTTGTCATGATGTATCAGTGTTAATATTTGTTGTATGCATCTGGAACAAAGGCAGATATCAACATTATAGATTGATTCTTGAGCATCTTAAAATTAAACATTTATCCATTTAACAGTGACAG